GGGCGAGAAACAGTGGCTGGGGTCTGCCACACTATTTCTGCCGGGTCTAGAATAGCATCATTTATGGTAGGGCTATTTTCGAGGAAGAAGATGGTTGCAAGATTTTTAACAGTTTATGTTGATTTTCTTGGACTTCTTCAAGTGGGATGTCCTGGCTAATCGCTATGCATTTGAATAACTCCTGGAATTGTTTAAAGTCATCAGACAGGGTGGGTGGAGGCACCTGACGGCTTCATCAGGAGAAGAAGAATTATGTTCAGGATATACTTCCTCAGAAGCGGGTTCTTCCTCGGGTTCCTCGGCTATCTCCTCCATGGTTGGTTCAGACCTAGTTGGAGAGCACTTAGGAGAAGGTTTCGGAGTGTCCTTCTCTGATTCAGGTTGAAGCGATTTTTCCATTAGGATCATTTTTTGAGGTGGAGATCCCAGTCGCTCTCACCTTCAAGTTGCTACAGTGGACACACTTGGATGGTACATGCATCTCTCTGAGGCATCTCACACAGAGAGTGTGCCCATCGGAGCACAGCATAGCTTCTTTGCAAGAGACGCATTTTTTTAAACCAGGGGAGCCTGGCATGATCAAAGTAAAATCCCAGGTGGACCGAGAACTTTTTGAGGTTCGTGCTCCACAGGAAGCAGGGAACCGGGGAACACAGAAAAAACTAAGTACAATTTTTTTATATAACACTAACTACTTATCTAAGGAAAGTTAAACTGAAGCTAACAATTAACTATTTTGCTATCTCTAGGGGTAGACGCTGACGCACTACCCCGAGCTCCGTCTTCAGTCGAGGACGGTTGAGAAAGAATTAAGGGGGTCGGGCCGTGCGCTGAACGAGACTCCAACGGCGCCGCAAGACAGCTATTGCACACGCATGGCCCGACCACGCACTGCTACCAAAAATATCCAATTAACAGCGCCAAGACGCAATATCAGCTGAAGTGGAGCACCCACAGGGCCACACATCTTGAAGAACCTCAGTTACGGCACAAGGTAAGTAACTCTCTCTTGGCACTGACGGTGCAGACCATGTTGATGTTGCTGGTTGTCACAGCAGTGCTGAGCAACATGACTGCACCGAAGGTGCTCTAAGTGTTCCGATTGCATAGAATAAACAGTAATGCTGTTTGGATGTACTGACAGAGCCAATAGTCCTGAAGAAGCTGAAGACTAAAGAGTCTTGTAGAGGGAGATATCAAATCTCTTCCAAGACAAAGATCTGAGGAGTTAAAGGCACCAAGAGAGGTGGGGACTCTAGTGAAAGAGCTTGGTATATCGGTAATGCCAAAATAGGGCCTTTTTCATCACTCCAGAGTGGGACAGGTAAAAACACCGGACTTCATGGTCCCAGAGTCAACAGCACTGCCTCAGACAGAGCCAACGTACTCTTGTGCTTTTGATGTGCTGAACCAATTCCAGAAGACTTACTGTACAATTTCTTTGGTGATGATGTAGATTTTTGAATGCTTCTCAGGATGAGAACACTTAGAGCACTTAGATGAGACAGCGGAAGAAGATGAAGATCAATGTTTCTCATCCAACTTGTGCTTAAAGTCTTGTGCTAGAGGAGGGACACTCCTGATACAGAATCTGTCGGTTCAAAGTTAGAGTCCAGTTCTGATACTGGTCCATTAGACGGACCTTGGAACAATATTCTGTCTGCTTTTTCATTGTAGTGGGCAAGGATGTACAAATTGTGCATTTGTCCCTCACATGCCCTTCCCCTAAGCAGAATAAATATCTTTCTTGTCTATTTGGGACAGGGAACACAGCCCTGCATATAGCACATGGTTTGAAAACCAGTGATTTCTTCATAATTAACCCCTGGGATTTACTTTAAAGCTAAACTAGCTAACCTAACACTAATTAAACTAACCCTAGTATAAACAACTATTTACAAAAAGATTTTTAGGAAGCTGGCTGAACTGCAAAACTATGGGGAGCTCAGACTCTTGCCACTAGCAATGAGAAGGAAATGAGAGGATGGTGGTGGACATGCCCACTTTGCAGCCTTGGCTGGGCTCACGCACCATCTAGACATACTGCTGGCAAGAATCTCCCACTTTAGTGCACTAGAGACTCACACAGCCCTAAAGTGGAATCTAGTGCACAAATACTTGAAGGAGAACCATTATAACACAAAAAGAACAGGAGTACTTGTGGCACCTTAGAGACTAACAAATTTATTAGAGCATAAGCTTTC